AGGGGCAAAGGTGTGGCCACTGCCGGAAGACAAGTTCCAAAGATGGCCTCTATAAAATTTAGCAGAGGTCCTGTCGCATGCCCACCAGAGCCTACCACTGAAAGGAGTGCAGCCGTTCATCGGAATGCGTTTCGAAGAGAGCCTCCCACCCGATGCAGGGGAGCTTGCTGCGATTTATCATGTAAGCAGCAGCAGCAGATTCTGCAAGGAAGAACTGGCAGCATGAAGCATTCTGGAGACCACTGTTGCTTTCCGTTTGGAGGGGTTGATGATGTTTATATCAAATTAATGGAACGGCCCTTCTCACTGTAATACTCTGCTCCAGTTGGCAGAACCTCTCTCTCTCTCTCTCTCTCTCTCTCTCTCTCTCTCATACCTCACTCTCTCTCTCTCTCTCTCTCTCTCTCTCTCTCTCTCTCTCTCTCTCTCTCTCTCTCTCTCTCTCTCTCAACGCATCCGCTGCAGGCTTCTGAGTCCAGCCAACCACATTCCCACCCAGCCTCGAGTAATATTGAAGTGAAACTCATCAGTGGTAATTAGATCATTTGTCTTCCCGCTCTTTATCGTTGTTCCCCTGCTACATACACGCGCTGCCTCGGTGTTCTGCCTGTGTTCTTGAACATGCAGGCTATTATCTTTAGATATCTGGCTTGTTCTGACATTACACCCCAACGTTTATCAATACGCTGGAATGAACAGAGGATCTAGTCATGCGGCCACATCAAGAACGGGGATTGCGCCGCTCTGAGTAATGCTGGACATGCCACAGAGCTGTCGTGCGAGAGGTTCGCTCCGATCTCAGCATGGGAGCCAGATCACACTGGCCGCCACACTGCAAAGCTGATAAAAGTGCACTGAGACCTGGGCCAGAGCATATTAATAGTGCAGTCCTGTGTGGAGCTTCTCCAGCCCAAGCCAGACTTAATGGGAGTAACTCTGCACGAGACTGCACTGTAATTCACAGACTTCTAGGGATGCTTCCATAGATTGGCTTGGTCATGCACATGTTAACATCTTGCACTGCAGTCTACAAATAGCATTTCTGTCGCCTGAACACAGGATGCTGGCTTATACTGAATGTGACCATCCGTCCATCGTGGTCCGTATCATCTATTCAGACTGGCTGCGGCTCTCCAGGGTCTCCGGCTGAGGTCTTTCACGTCACCTACTGCAAGATCCTTTAACTGGAAATGCTGGGGATTGAACCTGGGACCTTCTGCATGCCCAGCAGATGTCCTACCATCAAGCCACAGCCCCCCCCCTTCGCTAAAGGGCTGCTGCTGTGGTTAGGGTTAAGTGCCAAAGGCTGATTTATATTGAGTTTAGCCCACGGTGTCGCCACGCTCATTCCACTGGCAGTGTGAATTGCGACTTGCAGGTTTTTCCCACTCAGAGAAGTCCTCCCTACTCCCCTGCTTTCTCTCTCTCCCATCCACTTAGAAGCAGGTCTTGTGGCTGAAAGGGTGCCAGACAAGAAAGAATGAGGGTGTTGGATCCCCAAGCATCAAGAATAAATCCACGTTTCAGAAAAGCAAAATTTATTTCAAAGCTTTGGAAAGATACTCAAACAAGTCCTTTGTTAGGAATGGGTACAAACAGCCAGGGCAAGTATAATAAAGGGATTTGAACCAGGTACCGAACCAATGGATCACTTTCCCGCTGGCGGGTAAAGGCAAACGGTTGCGCGCTCAATCCCTGGGAACAGGTAAGTGGCCTTGGTGGGTGGCTCCAAAGTTTGGAATTGACTCAGTAAAGCCAAGCTATTTTTTGACTTTGGCAGGGGAGAAATTATCTTGATTTGCCGAACCTGATTCCATGTTGAGTCTGGAGTGGGAAGAGGTTTGCCCATCTTAAAAGAGGTATTCCTTCCTGTGTAAGAGGGAAGGGGAAGACACAGCTTCTCAGATGAGGAATCCAGTGACTTGCACATGTGTCATCATCAGAAAGCTGCATTCTTCCCTTTCAAGACTAGTGTTTTCTCATATGTAGATTAATGCAAATTGAAGCCGTTAACCCACTCATTAATTGAGTGACAACCCTCATTATCCCTACCCATTTGACAGAGGTTGTGTTGTCTTCTAGGTACTGTTGTGGTCCAGCAGTTGATGTCCATGCT